CTGAGCAAGGGGACGCAGGGAGCTGGCGACTGGCAGCGACTGCAGGTACGGTTCGTGCAGGCACCTGGCCTCCGATTTCAGTAGCGGGGAGGGCGCGGGCCTGCCCGGGAGCTGATGCATTTCCCAATCGAGAACTTCGAACTGCATTTTCCTGCGAAGACGCAGAAATGAAAGGTCTTGGTTGAACGCCACCACCACCCCTCCCTGCCCGCCCACCCACCACCTCAGTAGGCAATGGTGCAGATGACTTAGGAAGGACTTGGCGGGGGCTGGGGTCTGTCCTCTTGAGGCATGCACCTCTCCTTTCCCTCCTTCCGATCTTGACCCTTCCACGTGCCTTCCCAGAGCTGGGGAAGTTGGAGAGGAGACTGGGGCTGGGGGCCCATTGCAAAGAAGCTTCACAGGGCTTGAGCCTGTTAGGTTTCCCGGATGGAAATGCCTCGGTCCTTGGCTTCGCAGGAGAAAGAATTCACGCCGATGCCTAGTTTGTGATCCAGGTGAATTTTTATAAAATATAGAAGGAGTTTCAGGTTTTACATACACAGCCTCAGGGCACTTCTCATCCACGTGTGGAAAACTGAGGACAGAGGAAAACCGCAGGCCTGGCCGAGGGGCAGCTGGAAAAGGAGAGCAGTGGGCTTCCAATCCTGGCTTTGCAGCCTCCCACCTTGGGAGGCGTGGTCGACGGTACTGGTTTACCCCATTGGCTGCATTAAGCTCATCTGGCCCAGATTGAGGCCCTCCCAGGTGTACCGCCCACCTAGGTGTACCGCCCCTTCCTGGCTCGGAGCCTGAATTTGGAGCATGCCCAGTAGACAACCTGGTACCTATTGTGGCTACCTAACAAGCCTTTCCAGCATCTCCCAGACTGCGCTAAAGGATGCCTGGCCGTCCTGCCCCAAGAAGCTCGCTCACAGATGGGTAATGACCCTCTTAGCTGTGTGAAATGCTTTTTTAGATAGCAGCTTATGGAAAACCTTCCACAGTTTGGAAGACTTGGTTGGACTGAGGTGAGGCAGGGCCCGGTGTTGGGTGCAGGTGTCGCAAGCCATCCGACTGCATTGCGCCCAAGATGCTTTGTGGCGTTTAAAAATCCTAGGCACCCCGGTTGAGAAGTGCAATAGGATACACTGAGCACATAACCTCCGATCCCCATCCCTTTAAGGTCTGGGCTATCCCCAGTCTTGAATGGTCCGGCGGGGAAGAGGAGCAACAAGACGAGTTACCCCTTGTCTTCATTTTCTGTGACAAGAGAAATCTCTTGCAAGGATTGGGACTTGTTTATTTTACCTTCCGAAGGAAAAGAACCCAGCTCGTGGAGGAGTTTAAGGGACTCACTGGGTTTTGTTGTGGTGACCGTTGTTTGACATTTGAACTAAGATCAGTCAGTTGCAGTCTCTTGAAGCATAAGCTGTGTCTTCTTCCCTCCCTCCTTCCTTTTCTTCCGCTCACAGGTGTTTGTATTTAGTTAGTACCTGCCCAGGTGCAGAGCTCTGCCTTGGAGCTGTGAGGATGACCACGATGATCTGAGCCTAGTCTTTGGCCTCCTCGTGCTCCATTGATTGGGAGGAGGGATAAATCCAAACTCAGTAACTCTGATGCTGAAATGACGGGAATGGGGCCCCAAGGAGGCTCAGTGTTGAGCGGGCTCAGAGGAAAATGAGGAATGCTTGCATCAGACCAGGTGGGAACAAGCCCTGGTGTCACAATGGGTTGCTTCTTGGGTGGCTAACTCTAGGTCAGCAGTTTGAACCCAGCAGCTGCTCTGAGGGTGAAGGATGAGACTCAGTAAAGGCTGTAAAGCTGTGCAGCCATGAACACTCTAGGGGACAGTTCTGCTCTGTCCTGGAGGGCAGCTAGCCCTGCTCTCGTGGGAGTGGGCTGACTTTGGTTAGTTGCCAGATGTTTGGCTTAAGGAAAAGATTAGGTCCCTAAATTACATCCTGATGATGAATGATCTTTCCCATGAGCTGCAGATCTGTGTGTAAGGTATGCACTTGACTATGTGTTGGGTGTTCCAGGGATCTCACTATCCCTTTCTTACTCCCCAAAACACACACACACACACACACACACACATCTCAGGGACTAGTATCAAGGCTTTCCCATCCCCACCCAGAGACTCAGGCCTGAATCACCTCTGATTCATTTTCCCCTCAGTGCCAAGGCCGGGGATTCTTCCTGGGGAACCTCTCAAATTCCTCCATCCACAGTGCCTTGGCTCCAGTCCAGTCTCGCACTTTCTCTTGCCACCTCTCAGCTTCTCTCTCTGCTACTGCGCTGCAGCCAGGAGACACCATTTCACATTGAAATCTGGTAGTGACTCTCCTCCTGAACTCCTCGAAGCCTGGGGACAGACTCCTCTTGGAGTAAAGTGGTCTGGCCCTGCCGTCCCACTTCTCTGGACGAACCCTGGTGTTTTCTTTTTGTTTTGAGAACATGTCCTCCTTTGTTGTGCCACTAAGCCTCACACAGGCTTACCCTTCTGCCTAGAACACACCCTTACTTGCTGTTCCCTGCTGGGACCCTGCTTCCTCTGGAAGCTTCCTTGGGCTCCCAAGCCTGGGTTAGGGTGCGCTCCTTTGTGTCCTGTGGGGGGCCTGCCTCACCAGTAGAGCTCATTCCCATCTGCCTCTGCTGTACTGTATGTATGTATATATATATATATACATATATAGTTAAGTCAGGTTTGGTTCTTACTTTTAATAGTCTTATAGAGATGGAATTCACATGTCATACCCTTCCATAGCTCAGTCGTATTAAAGAGTTGCATAATCATCGCCACAATCAGTTCCAGAGCATTTTCTTCTTATGTTCATCGTTAGATCCGCTCTAATCCCCCTCGGGGATCCCCTCGATAAGCAATCATTCCAGTTGCTGTCTCTATAGAGTTAGTTATCAGGGATTTCATGTACTGGAAAGCACTCACATAAAAGACCAACACAATATGAAAATTAACCATAGGAAAAACATCTCAATGGGGACAAAAGCAGGGAATCTTGAAAACTAGAACAAATTTAAGATGGCCGAAGGGGAGACCAGATGAGGTACTTATATTCCAACCTAGTCATAGCTGCCATCATCGAGTGTATACTACTCTCTGACAGCAAGGTCATCCTGTTTTTAAGACTGTGGTGTGAGTTTCTGAATAGCTGAATCACACAATTACCCTCTCTCAGTCACTTTCCATGTACGTTCAAATGCTGTTTGGCTTGTAGGCCCTTTGTACAAATGGCAATGGCCTTACTCATGCCAAGTGTCAAAGCGGGGTTGAGGATGAAAGAGGCAATCGCCGTTCTTGTTAGAGCAGTCACTGTTGTCCCTGGGCAGCACAGATGGTTCGTGTGTTCAACTCCTAATGGAAAGGTTTCAGGTTTGCGCTCCTCTGGAGTACCTGAGAAGAAAGGCCTAGCAATCTACCCGCCCCCATCCCCTATGCCCCTCCCTCTGAAATAGCCATGGAAACACTATGGAGCCAGTTCTACTCATGCCCATTTGGGGTCGCCATCAGTGGATCTCCGCCATCATCCCTGGTTTTAATATTTGCTGGCACGTATTCAGTGGCAGGCACCGTTCTAAGTGGTTTTCGGCCGTAGCTTCTTCAGCCTACAACCCCCCCCCCCCCCCCAGGTAGTGTTTTTCATTATCTCTATCTGAAAACTGGAGGGCCCGTTAGAGAGGGGAATGCCTCTATCTAATGTGACATTCAGCATGGAGGCCCTCCGTATTTCTGGGAACGCAGTGAGTAAGCAGGACTGAGCAGCGTGGTCCCGTGTTCAACGCAGAGGCCAAGCAGAAGGGACTCATCCAGAAGTAAGGAGTGGAAACAGCCTCTTCATGGGCATCTCGCTCTCCTCCTTCGAGGGAGGACTACAGAGTAGTTAGGCGTGGCACCTCCCCGAGTCTGAAATCCTAACTCTGCGCTGTCCTGTGCCTCCGTTGTCTTATCTGGGTAATGGAGAGAGTGCTAATACCTCATAGTGCGGTGTCTTGATTGCGTACCCGGCACAGGGTCCATGCCCGCATGCATTTTCATCTGTTTGCCCATCTTTTTTTCAACAAATGGACTGGAAGAGAGAGCCTTCTGACTGGTTGGATCTCATGGTACCAGTACCGGGGGACCCCCCCTACCCCGTGTACCAGTTCCGGGGACCCCCCTGCGAGCACTCCCACTTTTCCTCTTCTCCCTCCCGATGCTGAGTGCTTTGCAGTGGGCCCTTTTTGCAGCACAGTCATCTCCTGTGTCTCGGGCCCTCTCCCCTCAGACCCGTCCTCGCAGTAAGTTCTCGCTTGCGCTGAGACAAGCATACAGCGCCTTTGCTGGTTGTTTTGTTTTTCTTTCTGGTAAACATGTTACCAATTGCTCTAAGGAGGAAAAGACGGGGCAGGGTAACGTAAATGGATGAGCTGTGAAAAAATTACAAAAGCATGCAACAAATAAACGCACAAGTAGTTGTCTTCCCTGTGGAAGAAATAGATAACTATTAGAAAGTTATAAAAGCACCGCCAGGAAACTTAGTCGTTACTGGAGGCAGGGTGGGAGGCAGAGACGGCTTGTGACCCAAGGGCCCAGCATCAGCTGTGACTGGTAGCCACCACTCCATCTGGAAGCCGCACGTTCTCCTAGATCGGAGAGAATTAATGGGCAGGACCTCAATGGAACTCCACATTCCCGGATGTACTGTACTTTCATGCAAATAATATACACCTTCTATGTGTGGACTTATTTTTTTCACATTAGTTTCCAGTGTACACCATGCAAGGGGGCTTCAAGAGGTCTGTGGAAAGATTCCGTTATCTTTTCATTCCACTTTTCCAAGAACTTTTGGAAACCCCTCGTAGATGTAGGCCCTTGATTCCGCAGAGGCATTATATTTAAAAGTACAGTTATGTTATGACAGCTGCACTCGACGTATGATGATCATTCAGTTGGCTTCATGCCGTGGTGTCATTAAAGCCCGGTGATTTACCATTGACTGTGGATGTCACTGCCACCCCAGAAGTCTCAGAGCCAAACTGGTGACAACGCTGGAGTGTTCAAAGTGAATCCAGAAGTAAACCTCCATGGTGGCTGGGAAGATGCAGGGGCACAGGGAGAGGAAGATGGTTTTGAGACAGCGGCGTGGCTAAAGTCCGGGGACTGAGAGCTGGAAGAAGCAAAGTTCACGGTGAGAGGGAGTGAGCTAGGAAGGTCGGTAGTGAGGGGAGAAGGCTCACAGGGAGGCGAGTGCCGAGGGTGGCTTGGGTTAGATGGAGAGGGAGAGGGAGGACATTCCAGGTCATATAGAGTTAGAAACCGATTGACCAGAGTAGACTTCTTCTTTGGAGACGTGGTGGAACATAAACATAAGTCTTCCTGAAGACTTGTGCACCCTGAAGGTACTTGTGAGGGATGGGGAGGGGGTGGCCGGGCGGTGGCTGCGTGTTGGGACAGATGTAGGTTGATTCTAAATCTTCGCCTGCCTTTCTTTAGCAACTTCAAGAAGGTCACTGTTACAACGCTTAGATGTCTATCGCTTTGATATAGATGTTCCTCCCCCTGCATACGTCTCTTTGTTTCATGTTGTCACCTTGTCCCTCCCCCTTGCTTTAGACTTGCAGCCTTGCAGCCTTGCCGATGGATCTGGTTGGCTTTGGTTACGCAGCCCTTGTGACATTTGGAAGTATTTTGGGATATAAACGGGCAGGTAAATCCCAGTTATGTTTTTGATCAAAGGGACTCATCAGGGGGTTGAGGGTTGTCTTAGGAGCCCCTGCGGGTCTGTGACTTGAACAAGAAGCTAAAGACAGCCCTAGAGGTACCCGAGGTACCTGAGGACTGACCAGTATGTTGTGGGTGGGTTTCAAAGAAGGAAGAATGGGTGAGGTGGGTGTGGGCACCATGGCACCATGGGCACCGTGGAACAATTGCTGTTTCCGGGCCTCTCCTTGCCACACAATTCTAATTTTACCTGTGATTATCAGTTACATAAGTAATTGATTTAGCTCACTTATCAAACGAGGGTTTCTTTTGTTTATTGATTCATCATGTTTATTGATTCACGCTGATTGCATAATCATGGTGTCAAAAACTGAACTATACTGGCCTGTGTGCCCCACAGGCATGCGCCTTCAGCAAAATGCAGACCACTGGCCTGTTCTCAGGCTCATCATTCTGCATTCTGGCTTGGCTGTCTGATGACTCAGGACAGAACTGTCACCCAGGACAGATCTCTCTCCGTTTACCCTGTAGCTACTTTTGCATCCTTTCCCCTATTGTCATAACCTCCCAGTGAGAAGAGGGAGAGAAGAGGAGTAGAAAAAGGAGAAGGCATACAGAAGTCAGATGAATTGCCCGAGATCCCACAGCCAGTACCCAAAGCACCTCAGGCTATATTCTACGCCCTGCAGCCTGGGCTCCTCTGCCTTGCATTTAGGGTCTAGCACAAAATAGTCAATTTTAACAAATGCTACTTGAATAGATACATAAATAGTTTGGCTTTGTCTGGTTAAAATGCCCAAATAGGAATACATTTGAAGATTCTAGTCCCATGCATGATAAGAGATTCTCTTTCTGAACCCACTTCTCACACTCCACCCCCACCCTTCCACAGGTGGTGTTCCATCTTTGATTGGTGGTCTTTGTGTTGGATTTTTGGCTGGCTATGGAGCTTACCGGATCTCCAATGACAAACGAGATGTGAAAGTGTCATTGTGTAAGTAATGCCTTTTCCCCAGTTGTAGAGAATGCAGCCTTCAATGACTGTTGTAAGATCCTGTACTAGCTATCAGGTAAGTGTTGGACTGCTAATCAGGAGGTCACGGGTTCCAACCTTCCAGCTGCTCCTTATGAGAAAGATGAGGCTAGCTGTCCCGGCAGCAAAGATTTACAGTCTCAGAAACTGTGAGGTTGCTATGAGTCAGAATTGGCTCAGTGGCAGCAGGGTTTTTTGGGTTTGATTATATTAGGTGTAAGGAGCACTAGTGGAGGAGCCCTGGAGATGCAGTGGTTGCACGCTGGACTACCATCTTTGTGGTCGGCAGTTTGAAACCACTAGCAGCTCCTTGGGAGAAAGAAGGGGCTTTCTACTCCGGTAAACAGTTACAGTCTCGGAAACCCACAGGGCGTCGCCATGAGTCAGCATTGACTCGATGGCAGTGAGTGGTGCAGTGGGTTAAGAGGTCAGGTGCTAACCACGAGGCCAGTGGTTTAAACCCACTAACTACACCAAGGAAGAAGGGTGAGGCTGTCTGCTGCCGTAAAAATATACAGTCCTGGAAACCCTTTATCGAGTCAGTGCCAGTAGTACTCTCTCTCAAAAACAGAACCAGCACCACAATAAGAAGTCATTTGTAACTGATACTGATGGTACGGGACAGGCTAGGAACTGCCCCTGTGGGTTTCCGAGACTGTAACTCTCTATGGAAACAGCAAGCCCCATCTTTCTCCCACAGAGCAGCTGGTGCTTTTGAACTGCTGACCTTGCCCTTAGCAGCCCAACGTGTAAACACTGTGCTGCCAGGGCTCCTGGTGTGGGTATACTAGCAAACAAACAAACAAAGCTAACTCCCTTCCAGTCGACTCTGACTCACAGCAGCTCCATGTTCTAGAAACAAAGTCAGAAGGCAAGTGGCCCTACGCTGGTATTGAGGCTGAATGCGACACTTGTTTCTCTCTAGACAGACCAAATTTGAGTGAGCAGTACTGCCACCAAGCCTTCTAACGAAAGAATCTTTCTATAAAGCTGGTTGCTAGGAAAAGCAAAGAAAATGAGAAAAGCATGGAATTGTTCCCAGGTTCTCTGCTCTCAAATGTATGCTTAGCCCATTTGGCAGTGGGAGTGGGGGGTGGGATGGGTGGGAGCGGGGATCATGATATAAAAATACTTAGGCAGTCTTGTATGATTCGATTCATAAACAGCTCTTAACTCCTACTCTTCCTTGAAGAGCATGTCTAGAGTAGTAAGGTCGACCTTTTCAAGTCCGTCCCTTGTGGGGCTTGGTCGGAAAGTACCCCCAGGAGAAGGTAATGGATGGAAAGGCAGGCTTCATGCCTCGGGGACCGTTGGCTTTCTTAAGAGTAACTTGAAAGGGAAAGACAGTGACTAAGCTAAGGACATTGTCTCCATGTGACTGAGTCTGACTCAAGGTGCCCTGGGGAGAAGGAAGAAAATGCAAAAATATGAAGATAAAATTGTAGCAGTTCTAGATTTGAGGAAGGGAAACGAATTTAGTAGGGTCTCTTTCTTTTTTTTTAGTTGGAGTATGGGTGAGGCATATTTGTTAAGACTGGGATTGTTATCAGATGATAAAAAGTGTATCAGTGAGATGCAGCTAGAAGGGACTTTTTATTTATCCGCGTATCAGGTCACACCTGTTTTCAATCATCCATTTAAAATATATAAATGAACAGGATTCGTTTGATTGACATCAGTGTCATACATGAAACTCTTTCTCTATTCCTGTTGGTACAGCTTCTAAAAGGCTGGCATCGGGCTTCGAGGTATAACACTATTACTGAAAAAATGGTACCAAATTCTCTGAAATGGAATGCTGCAGAGAAAAGAAGTCAGCTGGTAACACGTGAACTTTTGGGGTAATGCCATATGCTAACATTCAGAATAATGCATTACTTGGTGAGCCAACATCTTACAAATGATGTTACTGAAAAGCCATTATAATAAAGAGAATATATATATATATATATGGATGAAACTACCGTTTGTCAAGTTTGGGTGTTTTCGGTTATCAGAAATGATATTAAAATTTTTTTCTATTTAACCCCAAAATATTCCCAGAAGATTTCTTAACGTCAGTCAGCCTGCTTGCCTGAGTATCATGCTATTTTAGCACCAGTCTAGCTAGGGATCAAATTTACAATATGTATTTGAAAGATGGAGACCTTATGGGGCAATGAGTTTGTTAATGAGAAAAGGTGCAGATGCTTGTACAGCTCGTAACGTGTAATCAGCATCACTAAATTGTACATGGAGAAACTATGTTTTACTGTGTGTGTTAGGCCGGGTTGACCAGAGAAAGAAATTCTGAGACACTCATACATAGGAAGGGGTACCCCAAAAAACCGCAATTGTGCTGGGCAGACTGGAACTTTCATAGTATGCATTTTTCCTGCTAGGTGAGCATTGAGCAACTTGCTCTGAGTTAGTGAACCCAGTGGTGTCGCCTGGGAAGGTCCTCTCTGGTGACAGTGAATTTTTTCATGGAAGCAGTTACACTTGTTTTGTGATGGCCGATTTAAGAGAATAGCGTGTGGCTGTGAAATTTTGTTTCCTGCTTGGGAAAAATGCCGCAGAAACTGTTGTGATGTTGAACACAGCTTACAAGGACAGTGCAATGAGAAAAACTCAAATGTACAAGTGGTTTTCTCATTTCAAAAAAGGTGAAATATCAGTTGATGATAAACCTTATTCTGGATGTCGGTCAACTTTCCGAAAGGATGAAAATATCAACTCGCAGTGCATTTGGAAGCAGTTCAAACAAGTCAAACTATTAATCAAGGGGCTCTGAAGAGATTGCATAACAGTGTGCAACAAAAAAGGCTTGATTTGTGGTAGATGGTGGACTGGTTTTGCTACCATGACAATGCACCTGCTCATGCAGCCATTTCAGTGTGCCAGTTTTGGGCAAAAATTGGCATGCCTCTCTTGCCCCTTACTCACTCTCTCACCTTACTCACCTGGCCTTGCTCTGTGTGACTTCTTTTTGTTTCCATGAATGAAGAGGGACATGAAAGGAAAGTGATTTGATGATGTAGAAGAGGTGAAGGAAAAAATGAGGGAGGTGCTGTCAGCCATCCAAACAGATGAGTTTGAAAAATGTTTCTAAGAATGGAATCGCAAATTCGACAAATGTATAACTGTAACGGAGAGTATTTAAAGGTGATGAGGTTGTTTTGTAAAAAAATTTAAATACATAGCTTTGGGGGGAAAAATCCAGTTCTTTTTGGGTACCCCTTCATTTATAAGAAAGAGCTTTATACCAAAGAGTAATTGTAGATCAAGAAAACTCCCATCTCAGTCTGGATCAAGTCTATAATTCTGATATCAGCCCATACATCCTATACTAGTCCATAAATCTCTCTTCAGATTCACACAGCCACGTGCAATGATGCAGAATGCAGGACGATCCCAAGTCAATGGGTGAAAAGTCTTGTGGAGCCAATGGCATGGAAGCATCACAGGGCTGGCACAGGTCTCTGTCACATGACTTGTCAACAGGAAGATGAAGGCAGAGAGAGAGAGGGAGTTCCCAGAATCCTCATGAGAAGGCCACACCCACAAGGAGGCGTCATCAGGCTGTGACCTGATTGACAGGCTAAACTCCCCTTCACTCTTAATACCCCCAAGCTGACATGTGATTATATAACTACCACACTATGTATGCTCTCAAAAAATAAGATTAGAAAAATCTCCTTTTTATCAAAAAGAGAAAACATTCAGCATCCTTCCTAGTATGATTTCATGAATCAGATTCTACTTTTTAAAAGCATTGATAATTCTCCTTAGCCTTCAGTTAATTTAATGTTTATTCAGTGTCTCCTGAGGTTCCAAGTACACTGTCCAGTGGCCCTGAGGCAAGACTGAAACCCTAGTCTTCAATGATCTTCTATAAATGGAGGCATCAGTTAGAGAAAAACTGCCCCTTTCGAAGGCCTTGGGAATGGATTTCAACATGTTCATTTACACCAAGCTTTCTGATGAACTAGGCTTATTAAGCATTTTAATAGCACAGTATCTTTTCGATGGGAGAAAGATGAGGCTCTCTGCTCCCAGAGGATTTACAGCCACAGGGTCAAGTCTATTCTATAGACTTATATAGTGCCTATAGGGCCACTGTGAGTCCAGGACAGTGAACTTATGAGTTTTCTGTGACTTTCTGGAGGAAATCAACAATTCACTAACCTACTGTTGTTGAGGGTTGAGCTGGCAGTCGTTAGAAAGCTAAAATGATATCCAGATTTTCACCATCAGGCAGGTTTGAAACTCCAGCTCATGGAAGGATTTGCTTTTTCAGTTACAGCTTTCTTCCTGGCCACCATCATGGGTGTGCGATTTAAGAGGTCCAAGAAAATCATGCCAGCTGGACTGGTTGCAGGTTTAAGGTGAGAAAAACACAGTTTCTATCTATCTTCTCCTCTGCCATCATATTTCAAGGGCTGAACTGTTTCAATGTGAAACATCACATTATTTTTATTACATTAAGTGTGACAAGAATGACAGTAGAAACCTTAAGGCACGTGCATTCAGCCAGTCTTTGGTTTAGTGATGTGCTCGTGGATGGTTTCATCAGATCCACTTGTTATGAGTAAAGAGCACACTTCAGCCCCATGTTCCCTCAGGACCCACCTACGAGCAACGATACAAGAATGCCATGGCATGGACCACTCATTTTCCTCGAGGGCGGAGCCCAGGGATAGTCTGCCTCCTGCTGCAGTTATTTTGATTCTTTTAAGGAAGAACAATTTAATTTAAAAAAAAAACATATAGGCAAGGAACTTCTTGTTTCTCTCACTTTGATTCAGCCAGTAATTCCATCCATGAGCTTAGTTATATTAGGGAATAGAAATTAGAGGTAATGTTTTAAGTTCTCCTTTATATGTTGAAAGTCACAAAAATGTTTATTTTCTTTCATATATATTTCTACTTTGGGGGATTTACTCAAAATTAAAAAAAATAAGATGTGGACATCTCTTTTATGTAGGGTTTCCTACTGTGGCTATATATTTTGTTTATTATTAGGGAAAATAAATGTGATTACAAAGAAAAATTTTCAAGTTAATAACCCTGCTCAAAAACTTGAGACACTATGGGGAGCAACAGAAATTGTATTTATGGATCAAGAAAAAAAAAAGACCCCTGTATCTATGATTATAAGGAGCCAGGCTGGTGTACTGGGTTAAGAGTTGGGCTGCTAACTGCAATGTCAGCAGGTCAAACCCACAAGCTGCTCTAAGGGAGGAAGGTGAGGCTGTTTACTCTGTAAAGATTTACAGCCTCAGAAACCCACAGTAGCAGTTCTACTCGGTCCTATAGAATAGCTATTAGTTTGGTAGCTAGGTTTGTAATTATAACCCCCACAAAATGGCTCCTTGAGTATTATTTTCAAGTTGTTTTACTTTATAAGACTCTGAAAGTTTAGTTTCTTTCCAAGCCTCTCACTCCTAAAAGCTTCTCCCAGATCTTGAGAACATGTAGCTCTGGCTTCTCTCAGGTGTTCAGGGAGCAGTGGCATGTTGGGAGGTTAGCGTACTGGGATAATGAAGCCATCCTCGCCCCCAAGGAGTGACAGTCGGGAGAGTCCCGGGAGCCTGCTGGGGTAGCAAATGACCCTTGCTGTTTTATGCCATGTCACAGTGACTGTGCTTTTCTACCTTTTGTTTGAAGCCTCCTGATGATTCTGCGGCTTGTCTTCCTGCTGTTCTGATCACCCGAGGAGTGGAGAACTGAACCTAAGCCGTTCCACTGTAGCGGCAGAACACATTACTCTCTGCATTTCAAAGATGAACTTGAACCTGAAAGGTCAAGTGTCTTATCTAAGAAGCCAAAGTAACACCATCACTTCTGATGGGAACTGTAGGTTGAGGTGGTTTTTTGTTTGTTTATTTTGTTAATCCCAAAACTTTATTTTCTAATTTGTTGAATACTGTTCTCATTAAAAGAGCTTAAGGATCACGAAGCCCTGGTTTTCTTTGCTACGTCTACTTTTATTTGTAAATTAATGACATGATTCCTCAATATTCACAGGTTCCAATTTTGCTGGATGTGCCCACTGGCTAAAATTTATGTGTAATCTCTGAAATCAATGCTCAAGACACTCGCCGTTGTGGATTTGCACAGACAGGTGAAACATTGGACTTGACCCTGCCAATTTAACCAAATAGGAAAGTCAGACAAAATCCTTTGATGTCCTTAAAAGAAAAAGAAAATGATGTCCTTAAAATCCCCTAAGCCCTAATGGTGCCAAAGAGGCTGTGTTGCCGCAGGCAGGCATAGCCTGGTTGCAGACTGTCTCTTTGATTGATCATCTCTCAACAGACCACTTGGAAGAGCCTCCAGACTTGCCCTGGCAACAGCTTACCTACCGACGGTGACTGCGCCTTCCACACAGGATACCTTGTTCGCTTCCCAGCCAGTACCCCTGGCGCACTGTCACCCCACCTGTCAGTGGAGGCTTGCGTGTTGCTCTGACACTAGGAAGGTCGTGCATGGAATCACCATGGGTTGGGGTGAGCTCAATGGCAACTAGCAAAAGCCTAGCAATGATGCTGAAGTAGAAACTAAATGTGACATTGACCAAAGAAATACATAGCTTATGTGTTGGAAAACATTTTTTCATTCATTCATGGTGTCGTTGGTAGGTGCCAGTGAGTTGATTCCAGCCCATAATGACCAGAAGGAATCACTGCCTGGTTCTACACCATCCTCACAAGTGTTTGAGCCCATGGGTACAGCCGCTGTGTCAATCCATCTCCTTGAGGGTCTTCCTCTTCTTCGCTGCCCCTCTACCAAGCTTGATGTCCTTCTACAGGGACCGGCTTTTCCTGACAGCCTGCCCACAATATGTAAAACAAAGCCGTGCCATCCTTCCCATCCTTCTTGCAAGACAGATCTGTCCGTCTGTTAGCGGTTCAGGGGACTTTTATCATTCTTTGCCAGCCCCACCGTTCAAAGGCATCGATTCTTCTCTGGACTGCTGAATAAATTCATAGACTCATGGATGTATGCTTCCCTCTCCTCTCGGCCCGCCTGTCCACATACATCAAAAGCTACTATTAAATTAGTAGTCTTTCTTACATGTGGTGACAGTTGGGGACTGGATAAATAGGGTCACTGGTTTTCTTCGGCTAGGGAAGGCTCTCAGAGTGTCTGGGTTCCCATGTTGGACACTGATTCCCGTGGTGAAATACTTTGTGACTGCAGATTTGAAGGTAAGCGATGCAAGTGGGTGACGGTGGCGCGTGTTCATGTGTGTGTATTTCAAGAACATCCCAACATCTGTCTGCTTGCTTGGAATTCTATTCTTTTGCAATAAGTAGAATGCTAAGGAATGCTTACTGGGATGGCTCTGGTGGCTCTTTTGATGATCTTTATTAGGCTTGCCTTTTATTTCTGCCCTCTTGTAACATTTTCCTGGGAACTGCTACAGATGTGAAATGAAATAGTTACTGGATTCCTTCGATCTTTTCATCTGTTAATACTCGGCTACGATAGCAGCCATGTTTTTAAGAAACAGGCCGTGCTGAAATTTGAAGATGTTCTTCACGGTCTCCATGGAGGCTTCTTCCAGGGGAGGCTTCCTCTGGCTCCCAGGCTGCAGAAATTTGTTCATTGCGGGCATGTGGCTGATTCTGGTCTTGAATTCCTAAAATGCAAAAGGACATTATCCACGAGGAAGAGTATAGCAAAACAACAGAAATGGCCATGGAGTCCTGGGTTGCAGGTTTGAGTCTATCAGAGGGCCTCTGAAGGCAGGCCTGGGGAGGTCTTCTCTTAAAGAATCAGCCACTGAAAACGCTGGGGAGCACAGTTCTACTCTGACACACAGCGTCTCGGAGTTAGTCGACAGCCACTGAACAAATATCCAAAAAGGCAAAAGGAGAAGCAAAACAAAGTGTGATGCAAGCAAGGCACGTGTTCGCGCATGAGGGAAAGTATTTAAAAATTATTTTCTCCACTGCTGGTGGAGCTGGGGTTAAAATGGAATTTTTATATATTGTGTAGCCTTGTAGAAAACAACTTGGCAGTACTTTTCCAGAACCACAAAATGCTCCTAGGCTGTAACCAAGGAATCTCATGTTTAAAACTGTGTCCTGAATACGTCTGTTTTCTTCTAGATTGAGGTTTTACTACTTTATTTTGTTATCGTGGTGGAGGTTTTCTGTTTGTTTTTATGTTTTAAAAATATGAATTCCGGAAAGGGTACATCTATAGAAACAGTAACTCGATTGATTGTTTCTCAGGGCTGTGGCAGGGAAGGTTGGGAAGAAATGGAGAGCTAATGCAGACAGGAGAGAGGAGGATGTTATAAAATGTACTGTGATGATTGCACAAATCTCTTTAAGATAACTAACCATTGAATTGTATGATTTCTGAATTGTATGTCAATAAAACTATTTTTTAAAACTTCCTAAACTGTGCTTTTTCCAAGAGACAAGCACCGAAGGCCTCTCTGATAATAGTACGTTGTAACGTTTTATGTTTTAGAATGTACTTACTACCGCAGAGTCAATCTTGACTGAGATTGACTAATAGGGCAGGGAGAAGGGCCCCATGGTTCCTGAGACTGAAAGTCTTTACAGGGAGTAGAAAGCCCTGACTTTCTCCCAAGGAGACACTGGGGATTTCAAACTGCTGACCTTGCAGGGAAGAGCCCAATGTATAACTGCTATACCACCAGGCCTCCTCATAATGTACTGTAAAGACATTTACATAGGAATTCTAATGTAAAAGAATGTGTATAGCTGACTCTGGATGTCCTAAATAGATAAACACTGAAAGCCTCTGATCATGATATTTTTCATGTTCTATATTTTATAACACACGGTAGACATTTACATAGAAGAGTAAACGTGTACCCTAGTCATATCATCTTAATCCTCGCACCTCCAAATGCCCCTTGCAAACACCTACTGCTTTCAAGTCAATTCCGACTCATCATGACCCTTTAGGGCAGAGTAGAACTGCAGCATGGGGATTCTGCAACAGCAAACCTTGCAGTGGAGCAGTGGGTAGGTTTGTAGTGCTGACCGTACAGCTAGCAGCCCCAGAGGTAACCCACGATCCACCTATACCCATAAAGATTCCCTTGTAACATTTATAAAGGAAAACATGCCAGAGCATTCTAATTCTTATAACAGAAATTCTTCCTTTGTATTATGTGATAAACATTTTCATGTATATAATCTTTGAAAACATAGCTTTTAGGTGGCTGCATAAAATCCTACCTGAGGGATGGACCCTGGTTTTTGTAGGTATGCCTCAGATATTTAAAATAAAGTATAATCCATAGACAATTACATAATCATGAATAATGATGAGTACATTATATAAATATGACACCGACAGTTCCAGGGGGACATG